TCAAAACTGTTCGGATATAAACTCTTATAATTTATTTTATAAGCTTTCTTTACAACAGAATTACTTTCAGATTCGTAAATATCACGAATATTTTTTAGTTTTGCCAATTTTACCACTTTTGTATTAAAATAAGAAAAAGCAAATCTATTATCCAAATTATCCGAAGAACCAACTGAATTTTATAGAAGTGTTTTAAACATTGATCTATTTATTCTATGGTTATCTGTAATTATAGCCAAGACTTCAAAACCACATTTTTGAATGAAATCAATTACCTTAAGCGTGAGAAAAATCATTTCATTGCCGGTTATATTACATACAGGTACTAATTTAACTATTTCCGAAAAACTTCCAAATGGAGAAGAAATCATATACGCCAAAATTGTTTTCGCTAAATCATTTTTATTACATACATACCCCACTACATTTTCAGCCCTATAATTCAATTTTGAAGCCACGTAAATTTCATAAATTAACGGTACTACAACTTTTTCATTACTTGATAAACAATGACATATATTTCCTAAATACTTCTCATTACTGCAGTTATTCTGCGGTGATATTAACAAATTTGAGGACAAATGTTGCAAATATTTTTTATTTGATAAATTAAAAAAATTTTTTGTAATATACGTAGAGGAGGACTGAGAATAAATTGCAAACGACATAATAATAGTGGCTGTTTTTTTATTTCGAATTTGTTTGATTTAATCAAGTAATATTTCAAGATTCTTAGCAAAAGTAAAATACTCCGACTATTCATTATTTGCAACAATAAATGACTGATTCAATTATTCCAAACATACATCTAAATGCTTATGAAAAGGATGTTCTGAATTTTCACTTTCGTTTTTATAGAAATCATATCTAGCCAGCAAATTTTCTAACTGAGACCATCTCCATATTTTCATATCAACAGGTAGCAACCACCTTAAGTCATTGAAATCTAATTTTGTATCATTAATTATAACGTCTACTTTCATACTTTCGTCAATAATTATTATTTGAGAATTAAGTACCAAAATTTTATTTTCAAAGTTTAAATTATGAAATTTTAGATTTTGAAAATTTAATATTCCAACGTTCGGACATTTGAATATTTTTGGAATAATGATTAATTAATTCTGAAGAATATTTAATGATTTTCAAAATTTTGTATTTTAACAGCTTGATTTTCTAATATTTTTTTTGTCTGCGTTCTTCAGGATTTCTACGAGGTGTTATTTCTGGTATCGAAAAATTTGGGTAAATTTGAAAAACGACGAGAAACTGCATTCTCTCGTAATTTTGGATATCTCAAAGGCACATNTTCTCATACACTGATAGCTTGGGCAGCGGATCTTACAAACGTAATTTCACAATTGAATGTTAAAAAACAGGTAATTCGTAATATTTTTTATAATTTATTAATTTTAAAAACAATTGTCCGACTTCAGGTGTTTGATTTAATGAAGGGTAATCAAATTTTTTTAGAAGCAAAAAAGATTTACTAATAACCAATTTAGGCGATTCATACCTAAAAAAACACAATAGAGAACGCATTGCATACGCTTGCAGTATGATGACAAAACTTTCGCGATTGCTATTAGATTTCCGTAAAATTTGTAATAATCATGTTGTGCACCTTAAGGATTTATTACATCCCAAAAATTTTGACGGGGTAGTATCTGCTGCAAAAAACATTTCAAGGTATGATGCCTTGGCAAAAACATAAACTCGCCCAGTCTTGCAATGCATTTGGGTCATCATCATAAGGTCGTCAATCCTAACTGGTTGGACACGTACATCTACTCTTTCCTGTCCTGAGCTAAACATCTCATTTCCCTAAAACTAGAACAACCCACATCCTTAACTATTTGCAAACAGTAATCTAACCTAGTTCTGCCATGTCTCTGACTAAACCTTCATGCCTGAGAAGGTGCCCTATCAACCGATCTCGCCTATTTCTTATTGACTTTCATAAAGTTCTCCTATTATTTCTAATACCTCTTTCTTTCTAACGTTTTCTACCCACATTATCCCCATCTTTCGCCTATAACACCACATTTCGAAGGCTTCTAACCTTTTCTTTTCCGCCGTGCCCACTGTCCATGTTTCGCACCTGTAAAACGCCGCGCTCCAAACATACACCTTCAACAACCTTTTTTGAATTTGTAAATCAACCGTTCGCGAGCATAAAAGTGACTCCTTTTTATTAAAGGCGACACGATCCTGCGCTATCCTCTGCTTTATATCCCTACTACTCTTTCCGTTCTGACTTCCTAGATACCTAAAATCAGCCACTTCTTGTAATTTTTCGTCTTCTATCTTTATATTCGCTCTTTCCCAACTTCTTCTTCCCCTGCATACCAATATTTTAGTTTTACTTTTATATTTATTTTCATACAGTACTGATATGTCAGTACCGTTTCTATTTTATTTAAAGCTATCTCTAGGCCCGCCTTGCTGGATGCTATTACTGCTATATCATCTGCAAATCTAAGCATAGCAATCTTTTGCCCATGTACATCTATCCCTACAGTTGTACTGTCTTTAATGATGTTGATCGCGCCTTCGATGTATAGATTAAAAAGTAGCGGTGACAGTGTGCGTCCCTGTCTGACTCCCTTCCTAATATTTACTTCTCTACGTTGCAGACCTAGCTCTATAACTGCCTGTTGCTCATTATACAAACTATGTATCACTCTTTTATCATTGTAACTCATCCCTACATTTTTAAGTATATTTAACATCATGTCCNATCCCTACATTTTTAAGTATAAAATTATAAAATAAAAACATTGATACAGTAAGAAACATTATGTTGCGGAAATAAAACGAATTGAAATCGCTAATCATGCTCTACATTAGCCAAGGAGGACAAGCCAAGGTTATCCATCTTTTTCGCTAGGGCGCGAAATTCGCAGGCTGGCCGATTGTTACGAATCAAACAACGTCTGATACAAATAAACAATAACAATTCTCGGGAACCTGATAATTCTAGAAAAAGTGTTAACAAAAAAATACAAAAGAGTAGTAATAGTGGAAAGAGATCTACAGCTGTAGTAATACTAATACCAGACGTGCTACGAGACTTTATAAACATTTTGCCAAAAAATAGGAATAAATATATTTTATTCGACAATGAATATGTTTTTGCAACTCCAAATGATACAATCAAATGGAGAAAAGGGGACGTGGCTACAAGAAATCTTACAAATTGGGAAAGTAAATCGCAACAGTCATGTAAATTCTAAATTTGACTAAAGGTAAGATTAGACAATTTTCCGATTTCGTTGCTCACACATTAAAAACACATGAAGAATTTTAGAAGGGAGTATTTAGAGTGTACCATATCAAATAGGATGTATATTTTAATTGAAGAATTAAGGCATAACAAAGAAAACTATTTATTTAGAGATTTAATGGCTAAATAAATACGCATTTCATTTTTTTTCAACTTTTGATTACGAAAGTATACATTAACGAAATTTCTTCAGACTGTTGCACAAACTCCTATATATTCAGAGAAAATTACAGAGTATGAAGGTACCATCGACATATATATACCAATGGACGTGCCTTAGTCGTATCATCATCATCATAAGGTCGTCAGTCCTAAGACTGGTTGGACACGCACCTCCACTCTTTCCTATCCTGAGCTAATATTCGCATTTCCCTAAAACTAGAACAACCCACATCCTTAACTGTTTGCGAACAGTAATCAAATCTAGGTCTACCTCTACCCCTCCTAACTTCTGTTTCTGCCATTAATATGTCTCTGACTAAACCTTCATGCCTGAGAAGGTGTCTATCTCGCCTATTTCTTATCACTAATGCCTACTATATCTAATTCTAATCTACTCATCTCTACTTGTAAATTCTCCAATTTCCCTACTTGCCTCATTGTCCTAACATTCCACGCTCCGACTCGGGAAATATTGCACCTAACCCTATTGCACTTATTAATGACATCCCCCGAGGTAGTCCCCGCCCGAACATCCCAATGGGGGACTAGTTTACGTCAGGAGTGCTTTACCCCAGAGGACGCCATCATTTAATTTTTAACGTGCCTTTTTTTTTGGGGATCATAATGTGGTGGTTTCCCGTTGCCTTCCACATCGCAGTATTGTTTATTGTTATTTAATAAATAGTGGATACATTTTCAAATTTCCTCTATTTGACGAATCACTTGCTATTGAAAAATAGTGACTTGTTCTTAAATTACTGAGAAGACATTCTTGCCTAGCCGGCCCTAAAACATTTTCAGCAATACTGCTCGCTTTTGTTCTTCCGCATGATACTTTTTTCGTAATCACTGAGTCAGAAAACATGGCAACGTTCATTTTATGCCCACAGTCTTGACTATTTTAACTGTGATGATGTTTGATACCATGGAAAGTTGAAGTAACTTCAGCAGCAGTAATTAAATCCTCTTCTTTACTGTTTTTAGCTAAAACGAAAAAGACGTGATGCCTTGATTTTCTTTGGCGTTCCTAATAAATGTTTGATGCTTCGAAGATTTTGCTTATTATTTTACAGATCCAAAACCGTCAAACTTGACCGAAAATAAATGCTGACATATGCTATATTTTGCTGTGAACTCGCTTTCTTTCGATAACCACGTAGGGGAAGGGGGGCATGATAAGGTAGCTAAGGGAAATAATAAAAATACAGCTCAATCATTATGTTTATTGGCCTCATTAATTTATGGCACGTTATGTCATTAATCTAACTATGATTTGGCACAGTCTTTGGAGAATCAACATATCACATTTTTTAATAATTAATAATTAATAGGAACATTATAAAAAACCATCTTGCCCCATACTATGGGGTATGATGGGGTAACGAAATTGGGGCATGATGGGACAAGCTAGTCCTTCTCACAAAACAAACAAATATGTATTTCTTCCGGATCTTCATCGTCCACTCCAGCACAAGCGTTGTGAGCCCAACGTCCACAGAGCTGGCAGCCTACCCAAGGTTCTGATGATGTCAAATAATTGTTGTTTACATCATTACAATAGGTATAAGCATATGGCATCTTCATCATCGCTCTTGTGTTGTTTGGCTGAGGGTTTAGTCTTTTGTTTGTTTTTATGATTCTTTTTGAGGCGAGGATCATTAGGATTGGATGTTTTTCCCGGCTTTTTCAGATTTTCCAGCTCGTTTTTATAAGGAGTTGAAGTTATTATGGCTGTTTTTCCTCGGCGGTATTGTTTCCTTTTTTCAGTTCGTTGAACAGAAGGAATTGGCAAAATATCACCTGGGGATGCATTGCTGAAGCTAGAAGTCAGATCACGGCATGCTGCACGAATGGAAGGTTCAGGATAATAAGAACATCCAGGTTCAGGTTCACGGATGGGTGTTTTATCCATTCTTGGTGTGACATGTTCGTAACATTCGGTGATTAACTCTGTTCTAGGTGAAGTGGAAGGTGTAGCTTCAGGTTCTGCTGCAACAGTTTCAGTATGAGAAGTTGTCACGACTGTTGAAGATACAGTTGTGACTGTTGTTGTTGAAGACAGATATGGCACTGCTCCAGATTGAAGAGATTCGGGTTCTGATCCTCTTTGTTGTTCCACATTCGATGAGTCTGCAATATTTATGTTCGTAGTTTCCGCAGAAATGAAATCAGCATCAGTAAAGTTATTCAGGTTATAGGGCCATATACCACATTTTCTAAATGCGTTAATAGCTGTGGACATTGTAGCCGCCTGAAGGTATGCATTACCAAATATTTCACTTATCTGGAATACAGTTACCACACGTCCAGGATGTGATCTCAACCAACCTGTAACTGCATGATCGTAATAAGTGCTGAGTGGCTTCATAAATGCTACATCTGCAGGCTGCAATCTGTGTGTGCAATGGGGGGGAAAGCAAAGTATAATTACTCCATTTTTACGAGCTAGATCAATCACCTCCAAATTTTTAGTATGACTCACATGACCATCTAGAAGCAGCAATACATGGTTAGTAGGAGTAGCTCCGGAAAATTTTATGAAATTTTTAAACCAAGTCAAAAATATTTCTGATGTTATCCAGCCTCGAGGATTACAAACTGCTGTAGTACCTGGTGGAGCAGCATCTAAAAGTTCTGGCTTCATTCGTTGTCTTGGAAAAATCATCAGTGGGGGCATGTAGGTTCCAGCAGCGTTAAAACATATTTCTACAGTGATAGTCTGTCCTCGTTCAGCAGATGATAACGAACCCACTTGTTTTCGTCCTTTCATAGCTAATATTTTGCTCTTGGTTTTAGACACAACGGATATTCCTGTTTCATCACAGTTATATATTTTGTCAGGGGTCAATTCATACTTATCATAAATATCTCCGAGCAACTGATAGAATTTACTTACGGCCACTTTATTGAACCCCATTGCTCTTGCTGCTGACGTGGCTTCAGGTTTGCGAATTGATAAATTTTGATGACGTTTCAAAAAACCCTTAAGCCAATCAACACCTGCCATTTCTTTATCAGTGTTAAAATTGTGTGCCTTTCCATTTTTAACTGCCAATTGATATGCTAGACGTCTCAGTTCGATAGTTGTTAGTCCAAAAAGACGCTCTTCCATATATTTCAGATATGCTTCTATTTCACCTTCTTCTTTAGTTGTAAAGATAGATTTTTTCGGACCTAAAGGTAAACCAATGGTAACTTCACCCCCTTCCTTCATTTTCTTAACATATCGCTCTAAAGTAGTCTGAGGCACTGCGTATGCAGAAGCAGCTTTTTTGTATCCCATCTCTCTGCTCAAAACTTTATCTATAGCTATTTTCATGGAATCTTTCGACCACTCTCCTCTTTTGGTTTTTTTTTTTGTAAGTACGTACCATGATTGTACCTAAAAAAATAATAAATTAATGTTATTTTTTAATGCTTTGGCTCTAATAAGGTATTCTGTAAGTCTAAGGATTAAGAAACTTAACCAATACCCCATCATGCCCCAATGCCCCATCATACCCCACACCCAATACCCCATCTTGCCTCATAAGGTCGCTCTGGACAAAAAAAAAAACTAATAAAATGTTTGACGGATTCCTGCAAACAACACACTTTAACAAAATAAACAACACTAGTAACCGAAGATCAAAAAGATATAAATGGGGTGATCATAATTACCTTAAAATGTTGACGTTTAACCTCACAAAAAATTAGATCGACGAAACACTAAACCAGTTTTTCGTTTGTGGACACAAGACGCGTGCACTCCCGCTCACAGTTTCTCTCGCACTAACCGTCGGTTGAATGAGGCTTCCTATTGGCTTATTGTTTTACATTCACAAACGTCTACTTTCTTCTATGTGTGCGGTACCCCGTCTTACCTCGCTACCCCGTCATGCCCCCCCTTCCCCTATATTGTTTTAACCACAGGTCATTAAAAGAACAATAGTACTTTTTTTCTTTGTGCCTGTACTACTCTCATCTCCCGAGTTTTCACGATCCATTTTTCTCAAATTACTTATTGCCTCTCGTTAGCGTAATACTTACTTAATGATTTCAGTTAGACTGACAAGCTGTGGCGCGTTTGTCTCTTGCTCTCAGTGAGAACAAAAGACATATGCGCCACACCCGCTCCACCAGTGTTCACAGCCTGAATCGAGGCAAGTATCTCAATATAATCTATATTTTCGAGAACAGCTTTATAACATTTTACATACAATCTTCAAATTATAAAATATCAAAATCTTACAATCTTAAACTTATCATTGGTATTATATTCCCTTCAAATCATTGTTATTCTTATTTAAAACTTCTCATTTGGTATTCGAATACTGTCAAATTCATCCACATCTATATCACAATACAAATCATAGATTTTTTGGTCTGTAGATTCTGATGTAGTTTTCTTTTTGTACATTAAAGATTTATTCATTCGACTATACTCACTTTGAGATGGTTCATATGTAGTGCAGTCAGTGTTGTTATGCTTTATTCTTTGTTTAGCTAAAGAATCCCATTGAGAGTAGTAACTACCATTTTATTGCGAGTCTTGTTTTTAATTAAATTGATGTGACTAAATATACGTTCACTGTCAGCATTCGAATGTGGAAGTGAAATTACATTTAGCACAAGTTTGGAGGTGTTTTTAAAAGTCATTCCCTGATCATCTTCTCCAAGTCCATCAAATTTGCCCAAATTTCCCGGAAGCTCAAAATATGGTAATTAACGCCATTCATCGTCGATTAATTGATGTTGATTGTTTGAGGTAATACGAGGCAAAGCCTCCATCAATGGCAGCAAATTTGGAATTGCAAGTCTTGTCTTTTTTAACATTGTGTTAACATTTATTTTACTTTCTGTATTATTACACAGATTATAAAATTTTGCTGTAACTGGTACACATGACATGTACTGTTCATTTCAAGAAGTTGGAGATATGTCCCTTCCCTTTATTAGGATGCGCCGTAGCATAATTCCAAAAATCATATTTGTCTGCGGAGCTCATTTCTCCACCGATAATCGAGCGAGAACTAGACAAAAGTGTACAGAACCATTTGCAAAATTATTTAAACTGCCATTTAAAATTTAAGAATATGCTTTATTTAGCCAAAAATAATAACAAGTGGATTAACTTAACGTTCTATACACCTATAAAACCTTTGCTTTGTTTTCTATTGTTAATTTATATACATTTTTGTTTTAAGAAATTGCGAAACATTTTCGTCTAGTACTGTACAGTTCTAGCCGATCTCCTAAGACCGCCCATCGAGAGCTCTGCCCGTTCAAGCTTGTTGAATAAAGTATTCGNACCTAGTAATACCGATACCCTTATCGTTTCTTCGCTAACTACATACAAAGGAATATTTTCTTCTACTCTTTCATATAAAGTAACCCTAGCGTTTACAATACCCAAAATATTTATCGGAGAGTTGTTTATCCCTGTATAATTTGGAATCACTGACTGACTATGCTTTATTGAACCTTTCTCAACAAATCGTTCTTTAATCAAACTAATAGGACTACCAGTATCTAATTGCGTATCTAAATCTAGTATGCGCTTAACACTACAATCATTAATTTCTATTGTTACAATCTCACGACATTCCTCATGCGATGCTGGCTCTTCGTATACGTTGCTGACCTGATGTTGATTCTCTTCCTTCACTCTTGTACCTTTATCTTCTTTCTTGGTCAATGGACAATTTCTCATAAGATGACCCGTCTCGTTACAATTGAAACAAGCTCCTTTTCCTCTTGATCCATTTCTGCAATCTCTTGCCATATGCCCCTTTCTATTGCAAATGTAGCATTTGATTATATGTCTTTGGCCTTTATCATCACTCTTTGATGTACCAGCTTCCATAGCTTTCTGTTCTTCTGATTTATTTTCTGACACCCTACGATCAAACTTTCGATTTGGAATATCTTTCTTATGCTTTGGCTCCACATATAAGTTTAAACCTCTAAAGGCTAATAGCAATTCAGACTTTTTCTTCACGCGCAACATACGAGCTTGATTACGAAGTGCACGTTCTGAAATACCCTCAATCAAATATTCAATTAATTCCTCTTCATCATCAACTGGGACTTTGTTCGCTAAGATTGTTTTGTCATAGTAATAATCATCGAACGTTTCACTAGTTTGCCATTTACGATTCTCAAACTCTTTTTTTCGTTGTAATTTCGTTGGACTATGATCAAAGAATTCTTTCATTGTCTTTAACAATTCCTCACTGCTTAACTCCCTATGTTCTGATTTGGAATGGAACCAAGTTGAGGCTTTACCTTTTAGTTTGCTACTAATTAATAATTTCAGCAAATCATCATCTAGTGCAAATACTCTTTTTAAATAACGAACTTGCTTTTCCCATTCAATAAACTCTACACCACCATCGTAATCTTTCAAGGACTCACTTATAGCCTTGAGGCTGGCTTTCGGAGCCACTGGCATCTCAAACTGTTCATACCTGTTCCCTATTGCATATTCTCGTTGCATTAACTCTCGTTCCCTTTCCAACAAAGAAATTTTGTCTTCCATGAATTGACGTTCTCTTCTCAACAATTCAAGCTCCCTTCTGATGAGCCTGTTACCTTCCTCACTTTCTGGTACAGTTTCACCCTGAACTCGTCCTGTTGCGTCCTCTTCCGACACAGTACCTCTACTTTGTTCTTCTAAGGATGAACGACTAATTCCCATATTTCGATTCATTTCACTTGTTACCAATTCATTACTCTGCTGTCTAGAAGTCATCCATATTCCCTCAGGATCTGCTTCCATCAATCGCATCATAAGCTCATTTTTATTTCCTGTAGTGGATAAACCCAGCTTACGTAATTGCTCTTTTAATTCCATCACCGTGAGTGCACTTGGATCACTCATTTTCACACTTTTGATATAAATCTTGAGTAATTGAACCACAAACAATGTAAATTCACTAGCAGTTATTACTTATTTTATCGAGAATTCAAGCCCTTTGTATTAATGACGTACACAACGACACATTTAACTCCTTCGATCCCACTTCTGATAATTGTAAGGGTTTTAAATGATGTCACACAAGACTAATAATTGTATGTATAATATTCTTTATTCAACTGCTATTTACATGGGTCCGCACCCTTTTGGACTTGCTCAACTACTGCCCTTGCACCTTCCCTCACTACACTACTTCGCATCACACCACACACTCGCTCCGCCTACTTATCATATACATATCTTTCTGAATTTGCGAAAACGTATTATATACTGTTCAGTTTACTCAACAGAATCTAATTATGAAATGTTTCACAACGTACGCGACATAGACAGATTCGACTTCACTACTTTAATTTGTAATAGTTTTTTATAACCCTTTTTGAACTGTTGCAATGTTGATGCTTTCTTATTAAATTTAAATTTTCTTTCTTGTTCAAATTTCATTTTTATCAGTAGACTGTAGAAAGAAGAAATAAACTAAACAATAGATAGTTTNCAGCAGAATGAACTGCATATCCTGAAATGTAAATTTTTAAGGAGTCATCATCTAAATCACAATTCATTAAATAACCGGAATTTAAAATTTCAATAATCTAACTTATGTCTAAGGGAGAATTTTCAACATTGTAAATGTACGAAATTGTGACGTACTATATATTCTTTAATCTTTCAATGATTATTAATGTCGATGATTCTCATGATATGGTGTAGGTATGTTTCAAGTTTATGCTTGTTCGCGATTGACGTATTCATACGGACACAACGCTCCAATTGTTTATGTCATTCATCTTCACCTCACCACCTACTTAGTCATAGTACCTACCGTAAGCACGCCGCATGGTGTAATTTAACATAATAAATTTTATATCACAGTGTGTCGAATTTTATTGAAAAAGAGTAAAGTTAGAGCGCGCAGTAAATTTCTGTTTCCTCAGTTTTTCGAAATTTGGTTTCTATGTCAGAAAATGAAAACGTATCCGTAAATTGTCTAAAGATATTTATTTATTTATTTATTCAGAAATTATACACAGGCTTAAACAAAATATAAAGAATATAGATGCTGGAGATGAATTTAGACACACTTTAGTTTTTCTTTTATATAGGTAAATATATTAACGAGTCTGATTTAAAATATTTTACATATGCACATATCTCATAATACACGATTCAGGATAGAACATTATATATGACCGGTCGCGGGTCTAGCAGGCTCAATAGTGCCTCCTTTCGAAAAATCCCCGGCCCCATTGTTTTGGTTTTGGTCACAATTCCAGATAAGCTGGCGTGCATGGGCCTGTTCTGCTTACATAATAAAAAAATATAGAGTATTAATATACTTCAGTTTACAAAATAGTTTAGGTAGCATAATTATTAGCTGTATAAAAGTAGCGTTGATCTTGAATGGGGAACAAAGTATGTATGGGATGTGTGCAATATAAAGATTTACAAAATCACTTCAATCGATCGCGTATCACAGATTTATATCTAGATATCGAGCAGTTTAATAGACACTCATTGATATCGCATTTTAATTCATTAAATTCATTACTTGATCTAGTGACAATAGATCCGTGAGAGTTATTTACCGATGCTATTTTAGGAATAAAGGTTGAACTCGTAACGATCTTGTTGGAGTTCTTATGTTAAACTTATTCACTAATTCGGAAATATCAATCAAGCCATTAAAAATTTTATAAAAAGATAGATAGTCGTTATACTTAAATTGAGATTTTAGTGAGATCATATCTAATTCAGTCATAATTTTACTATAGTCATGATCAAACAGATGGATTGGTTTACCAATACGAGCTGACAGAATACGCAAAAATCTAGGTTGAATATTTTCTAAGCAGTTAAACAAAACATTGGTCTTAGGAAACCAAATGCAAGAAGCATAGCATAAAATTGACTTCACATAGGTGTTAACACTTCGTTCAATAAGTCCAGAAACTAACAACGAAAACAACATTTTTTTTAAAAAATCATTTTTATTCAGCAATATAATCTCCTTTTAGAGTGTTAAAATCTTTCCAACATTTCTATACCATGTTTATAGAAGGATTTATCCTTTACTTCAAAATAGGCTTCAGTTTCGGCAATGACCTCCTCATTCGAGCCAAATTTTTTTCCCTTTTTTTGTTGATCGATTTACCTTTTTCCAGGTAGTCAATGAAAATCACACCATGTGTATCCCAAAAAACAGACGCCATGACCTTGCCAGCAGACTGCTGCGTTTTTGGACGCTTTGGGCGGCTTTCGCCAGCCATGCGCCACTCAGATGATTGCCGATTCGACTCCGGAGTGAGATGATGTATCCATGTTTCATCCATGGTCACGTATCGACGCAGGAAATCCTTTTTATTGCGAGTAAATAGCGATAAACAGCTCTCTGAATCGTCGACTCGTTGCTGTTTTTGTTCCACTGAAAGCAATCGCGGCACCCACTTGGAAAAAACCTTTTTCATGCTCAAATTTGGATTGTAAATACGCTTCCAGATGATATCTGTGTCATTTCTGCAATCTCACGGACCTTCACTTTGCGATTTCTCATTACGATTTTTAACACTTCACTCACATTTTCCGATGTAACGGCTTCCAATGGCCTACCCGAACGTTCCGCATCGTGTGTTCGTACGACCACGTTTAAACTCAGCATACCAACGACAAATCGTTGGTTTTGATGGAGAGGAGTCCGGGTAACATTTCTCAAGCCATTGCTGGGCTTCTACGGTGTTTTTACCCATTAAAAAACAATGTTTTATCAACACGCGAAACTCGCTTTTTTCCATTTTTCAAACAAATTACAAAGTGACTTTATTTTAACTTCGATAACTCAGCTGTTAGTGGTCCGATGGACGTGAAATTTTTACGTTTCATGTGAAGATTCATCTCGGGGTTAGTCTCGGGACTTATTGAACGATGTAGTATATAACAAGCAAGCGGTATTGTAATTAATATATTTTTTAGAATTTCGCATTACAAAACTTAACATACACGATGCTTTCTTACATATCTCATCACTATGTGATTTCGAAGGTCAATCCTTTAACAAATAGAACACCTAGGTCCTTAACAACATCAACACGCTTTATGGGTTTTCATGTATGCTATAAATATGTGTGTTAGCTGGTGATCCCTTCTCAAACGAAATAACAGAGCATTCCTCGACATTTAAAGTTAATAAGTTGTTGCTGAACCATTCAGTTACGCTATTGATATCTATTTGTAGTTTATTGCGATCATCGCTACACTTTATTTTCTTTGACAGTTTGAGGTCATCAGCAAACATTTTTGGATCAGCATATTTCACAACATTAGAAAGATCATTAACAAACACGTTGAATAACAAGGCTCCACAGTGAGAGGCACGCCGCTTTTAACACTCATAAACGTCGATGTCGAATTATTCACCCTAACTGCGGATTTTCTATCATCCAAAAAGGATTGCAACCAGCGCACAATTTTGTCGCCTAATCCATAGTTTTTAACCTTTCTCAATAATAATACGTGATTCACTGAATCAAAGGCAGAAGACAAATCAGTGTAGATAGTGTCAACGGTACAACCTTCTTCGAAGCCATCGACAATACTCTCGACATGTGTAACCAGATTAGTAACCTTAGATCTTTCTGACACATAACCGTGTTGGTTTATATTTATTAATGGCATAAAAATCGTGGATAATTGTTCAGTTATTAAGGAATCAAAAATCTTTGCAAAGAGAGACGCCTTGGAGATTGGTCTATAGTTTTTGACATTTGTGCGATCACCATTTTTGAAGATAGGTATAATGGTCTGTAATTTCCACACGGAAGGAAATTTGGATTCATTGATCGATCTAGTAAATAAGGCATGATCGGGTTTTAACAGACCAAAGGCAGCTCGTTTTATGAAAATAGCAGGAATATCATCGATACCAGTCCCAAGCGTTTCGCGTATAGATGACATATGTAATAAAACAGATGCTCAATCAATCGTTAATTCATTTAAAGCTTGATGTGAATCCTCAATTTTAGTGCATATGTAGTCGTTGCAATTATGAAATTTAGATGAGAAACAGTTAGCAAGGAGTTCTGATATTTTATCATTGGTGTCAGCACTTACTCCATCCAAGGTCATCAATCCTGGAAAAGTTTCCGATTTATGATTATTAACATATTTCCAAAAATATTTTGGATTTGACCTGATGTTTGACTCAACATTCTTATAAAATTTAGCATGTGCTGTCTTGCACAACTTATTACAATATGACCTTTGCTTTTTAAATGTTTGGTATGAAGAATGTGACCTATTACATTTGTAAATACTGTGTAAATATTTTTATTTCTTTCACAATTGTTCTGTTCATCCATGGAGATAGGTTAGTATTATTTTTATTACGTAACAGCACACATTCCCTAATTATCATTTTCAATTTATCGTAAAACTTATCAACAACAGTGTCTAGGCTAAATGATTTGTCGCTAATAAATGACCAATTAACATCATGTAGTTTACTATCAATAATAGTATTATAATTAGAAGAATAAAATTTGTAGCTATTCGTTAGGTTATTATCATCATTAACACTGTTTCAGTCTAATTTTTTTTTCTGAACAGATAACATCATCAAAAGAAACATCGTAATTACAGCCACTAAGCTGCCTATATTTTCCAAAACGTTTTTCCAATTATTCAGTAGTAAATTTTCCTGGCAAAATGTAATTTACATTTAGTTTTGTAAAAGCGTATTCAATAATTTCTAGCAAAACTATGGTGCTTTGATGAAGGGCATCATGAGTTTCATTTGTCAAACATC